AAAATCACCAACATTTTCATCGAATGTTGGTGATTTTAAAGTAATTTTGAGTGAGAAATATTTTTTTTTTGCGATCAATTTGTACTCTCCCAACAATAAAAACTATTAGCCCCGGGAGATCAGGCGATGGTAAACATCGAGCCCTGTATAAGACTATGAAAAAATGAAAACATTAAAGGTTAAAGATTCCAGTGGATCATCTACAGGGATGAAGGTTAAAGTCCACCCGGGTCATTATGAAAGCAAGAGCTGGAAGGTTCCTCTTGCTTGTGAAAGGTCAACTCCGATGTAGGGCAACATAATGTAGGACAACTTTGCCATGGCAACATTATCTGTAAATATAGCAACGATAATATAAAATGCATAATCTGCCTGTTTTCTTTCTTTCCTATTTGTGCTTCAATTTCTCTGTGACCTTTAGTATTTTGGGTTTTTGTCTCCAGTGAGCAGCAGGTGGAGTTAGACTCTGTCCAGGTGGCTAAATGTCACATTAACATTCAAAATTGGAACTCATAACACTGAATATATACAAGCAGACGATATTATTTCTAGGTAACATTGATATTATGATGATAATACATTCATGATGTATTGTGTCGCTTTGAGATGAAGTCTTTGTCTTCACTACGAATATGGCGTCTTGTTTGATTCTTAGAAAGCAGAAACATCATGCAGTTATGAGACAAAGGATGGGGAGTAAATTTGCCAGAGGCTCGTTTTTCGGCAGAGTAGTTATTACGTAAAGAGCACATCACAGTGTTTATGTTTCAGAGGAGATGTATACCTCCTCTCACTGTAATCTGGCAGAAATCGCCCACGGAGAGACGAGCTGAGGTGAGGGTTCATATGGAGGAAGCATTAAGATTCATGAGGACTCCACAGCTCGGCGCTGAGCGTGAGTCAGCGCTGGTCTCCCACAGCTTGCTGCGGAGGCCGGAGCAGATCTCTCCTACTCCTCTGAATAATGTGGAGGCAGGTGCAGCGTGTGATGTAACGCTCCGAACGGAGCCTTTTTGTTCTTCTCTTCTCTTTGACTGGTTGTTCAAAAGGTTGCTGTGCATTTAGTTACGTCGTTGTGGAAGAAATTACATTTGAAATAAAAACTCAGTAAAACCAAATGGCAAAAACAATTCAGTAAAATTTTACATTTACATTTTTCTATAAAATTTTACAGTTATTTGATGCAGTAATTAAAAAGGATGTTGGTTGTCAGTCTGCTTTTGCAGCTTTACAGAGGAATTTTGACCCATTTTGAGCACCAATTCCCTTTTTTAAGGTCACAGGGCTGCTGCCCAACTGGATTCAGTCTGTTTCTCTTCCATGATTCAGAATTGGAGTTGCTGCTCTGTTTTGGAGCATTATTCTGCTGGAGAAAACTTTTAGTTTCATCTTGAGCTCACAAACAGATGATTTATCCTTTAACCTTCAGGATTTAGGGCAGACAGCAGAATTCATGGCTCATTTTATCACAGCAAGTCTTCAAGGTCCTAAAGCTGAAAAACAGGCCCAGACCATCACACT